ATCCATATAATATCAGTAAAATGAGATACCTACATTTATGGTTTTGGCAGTCTTGTTGTTTTGCAATAATGCTTGTCAAAGCAGTTTTGGTGTCCTGCAACTATTTATGATGAATGTTCGCCAAATTGTTGTGTTGTATTTTGTGAATTTGAAATTTTTCAGTTATCATATGTGGCGGACAACATATCGACGCTCTTTTTCGCTGTGTTTATGAGTGCTGCAGCAACATTCTTTGTTGAAGGATGGAAGCGCTACAATACAGATGTTGCGTGGAGATTAGGGCTGCTCGATACTGGATCCCATGAGGTCAGGCCGCCCATGAGAACTAGTGAAAATTGCCTATTTTTAATTACATTTGATCCCAAATTTTCATTTTTACAGGAGGGAATGCGGTTGGCATATCTGCTGCAGTCGTTACGCTCAAGCAGTGCCCACAATTCGTACAGCTCAAAGCCGGAACCAGTAGTTATTCCGATATGGCAACGACTTCCGAGGATTCTCGCTTCCGGTGTCACAGTCATCTTCTTTGTGAGTCTTTTAAGGGGTTCGAAGAGGAGGATTTATGCTATTCGCTTTAATTATTAGCGCTGTGATCTCTGATTTTCAGCTGTGTTTAATACTCGCCGCTGTTATTGGTACTATAATATATCGAATTGTATTAATGCAGGTGCTTTATCGAGTGGATAGTATGCGCCCGTTTGCTGCCATTTTCACCTCCGTTACTACCGCCATTCTGAATCTCATCGTTATTCTAATTATGAGTTATGTAAGTGCTACTGTGGAGTAACATTACGATAGTTATAACTGCGCAGAAGGAATGATTAAAGTGGAAAAGTAAAAATTCTCTCCCTCGTTCCCCTCCCCCTCCGTATTCGCTTTCTGAGGCACTCGAAAAGTAGCCTGAGTGGTAGCAAATGCTAATAACAACCGCCTGCCGGTACAGCTGTTGATGACTTTCTCTTTCGAGGATTGCTTACAAGCGAGTTGATGATGGATTTGATTTCTTAACATATGCAAGTATTAATTTAATGTCGAAACAAATGAGTGAACCATAGAGGAATTAAATGTTAAAGATAGGAAAAAAATGGCTGTTTTTTTTTGTTAGTTACTTACTTTTAGCTGTCACTCGTTATATTCGTTGCTTACGCTTATTCTGCTTCTTGGGCAAACTTCGACTAAGCTTGACTATCACTTTTACTTTCATTTTCAGTTTTATAGTTATCTTGCCTTGAAACTAACCGATTGGGAATATCCGCGCACACAGTCCGAATTTGAACGAAGCTATACTGTGAAAGTTTTCCTATTTCAGTTTATCAATTATTATTCGTCTATATTTTATGTAGCTTTCTTCAAAGGAAAGTAAGTTGTTGCTCTCAGTTCACTGGACAGTTCAGTTCCTTTACTGTCGCTTTATTTGTTTAACTCCTTGCAAATTAAGCACTTTGATTTGACAAACTAACTTTCCCTTTTTATCTTCCGGCGATGTTCCAGTTTTTCTGGTCTTCCTGGCCGACGAGTATTAGGACTTCGACCTGAAGATTGCGATTCAGCTGGATGTATGGTGGAGCTTGTTATTTTGCTGGCAACAATTATGTTTGGAAAAACCGCATATAATTCTGCTATGGAATTTTTCAATCCGTAAGTGTATTTTTATACGTGGTGCCTTTCGTTCTGTCTACAATTGAGGCGGGTTGAAAATTGATACTTTGGTGTATGATTTATTGAATTATTTATTGAATTATTGGTTTACTAGGCGTTGAAGATTTTTCGAAGAATTTTAA